TCTCGACTCAACTCAATTGAATTTTGATTTTATTGCTGTCGTCTTTTTCTTCACACAATCCATGTAGTGATTGAATGTAACAGTATTGTCACCAGTCAATCCATGTAGTGACTGAATGTAACAGTATTGTCACCAGTCAATCCATGTAGTGACTGAATGTAACAGTATTGTCACGAGTGTAATAAGATTTCTTGTCCAAATTAAAAGAACCTTACCTTTTTCTTGTTGCTCGTGTTACAAGGTCTTATTAGCTTTTGGATGATAAAAAATATATTAATAAAATATTCAAATTGAAAATCTTGATTTAACTTTTATAAACTTGGGCTCCCCCAAAGTTAGATTCTATTTACCCCACATCTAACCCATCCCTAGAAAGCTCTACTTCCAACCTAGCTAGAGAATATTTACCCTATTTCTTGAAGAGAAAATTACTTTAGTTTTATAAGAATTACATAGATATCCTCTACATTTTTAAAAATTTCAGAAATTTTTCTTGAAGTTTATTTTAGTAATAGATTCTCCACGGTCAAAAAAGGGTAAATATTTATTTTTCATTTTACCGATTCATACTGTTTTGAAATTGTTATTTTGATGTCGTCAAATTATGTAATTTTTTTTCTTATTAATTATTAAGATATATTTTTGGTATTTTTGAATGAGTAATTAGCACAAAACGTTCTTACCTTTCAATGTTTTTGTGGAAAAGGTCCATACCTTTTGTTTTTTGGCGGATTATACTCTCACCGTTACTTTTTTTTTTGCGCAAAACGTCCTTCTGTCAACTCTCCGTTAAAATGCTCCATTAAATAAAAAGGGTAATTAGCACAAAATGTCCCTATCTTTCAATATTATTGTGCAAAACGTCCATACCTTTCATTTTTTAGCATAATTAGCACAAAAAGTCCCTACTTTTCAATGTTATTGTGCAAAATATCCCTACCTTTCATTTTTTGCATTGGGTAATTAGTACAAAACGTCCCTACTTTTCAATGTTTTTGTGGAAAATGTCCCTACCTTTCATTTTTTTGACAGATTACACCCTTCCATTTACCTTTTTTTTTTTTTTTTTGCACAAAATATCATTATGTCAACTCCCCATTAAAATGCTCTATTAAATAAAATGGGTAATTAGCACAAAATGTCTCTACCTTTTAATATTATTTTGCAAAACGTCCCTATCTTTTATTTTTTAGCATAATTAGCACAAAATGTCCCTATCTTTCAATGTTACTGTACAAAACGTCCCTACTTTCATTTTTAGCATTTTACCCCACCTTTTACCTTTTACTGCGCAAAAGATCCTTTTTATCCATTTTTTCAATAAAATGACGATTTTACTCTCCTATTCAAATAAAACAAAAAGAAAAGAAAAGAAAAATAATTAATTAATTGTAATCATAGTCTTAAATATTTCAAAACATCATAGATAAGTCCTAAATTCTCTACTACCGCCACTTTCACAACTCCGTCAAGCCACCACCTATAGATCCATATAGCACCACCTTTCGGCCACAACACCTATCGAACTCTACCACTACCAGCCTCGCCTCACTCTCCCCAATATTCTCTTCCATAGTATTGGTCACCAATCTGTTCGAAACAACCACATTTACAGTGATGGAGTCCAGTGGGCATGGTGGCCAAAAGGTGGTGTTATGTGGATTTATAGTTAGCAGCTTGATAGATTGTGAAAATGGCGGTGGTTGAGAATTTATGATTTCTTTGTAATTTTTTAAAAATTTAAGGACTATGATTACAATTGATAATTCATCTTTTCTCCTTTTTTATTTGAATAGGAGGATAAAATCGTCATTTTATTGAAAAAATAGATGAAAATGACTTTTTGCGCAATGAAAGACGAAAGGTAGGGGTGAAAATGCTAAAAAAATGAAAGGTGGGAACGTTTTGCACAATAATATTGAAAGGTAGGGACCTTTTATGCTAAATACTCTTTGATTTAACGGAGCATTTTAACGGAGAGTTGACAGAAGAACATTTTGCGCAAAAAAAGGTAAAGGTGAGGGTGTAATCCGCTAAAGAACGAAATGTAAGGGACCTTTTCTATAAAAAAAACATCGAAAGGTAGGGACGTTTTGTGCTAATTAACCTTTTTGATTAGACAAGAATTTCTTAAGTTAAAACCCATTATAAATATCTATAAAAGTTAAAAATCAATAATTAATAAGGTAAAATGAATAAATATTTTATAATAATTTAATCAAGCTAACTGAAAATTCATTAAATATTTGATGTTACTAGATTTGATATTTTTCCTCCATTGTGTGTGTGTGCGTGCGTGTGTGTGCGTGTTTTTTTTTTTGAGGTACTGTTACATGTATACTATATTAATGTTAAAAATTAAAGTAATATTATTATTATTATATTAAACAAACTAATTGAAAGCTCATTAAATATTTCATATTGTTAGATTTGATAGCATTTTTCTATATTTATATATTTTTTATGCTATTTACATTAACACTATATGAAAATTAAAAAAAAAAAAAAAAGAAAGAAAGTAATATTATCATTACAATAAATATGCAAAAAATGACATTAAACTTTATAGATTACGTCTAAAATTATTTTAGGGTAATTAGCACAAAATATCCATACCTTTCAATGTTTTTGTGAAAAAGGTCCTTACCTTTCGTTTTTTGGTGGATTACACACTCACCTTTACATTTTTTTGCGCAAAACATCATTCTGTCAACTCCCTATTAAAATGCTCCGTTAAATAAAAATGGTAATTAGTACAAAAGGTCCCTACATTTCAATATTATTGTGCAAAACGTTCATACCTTTTATTTTTTAGCATAATTAGCACAAAATGTCCTTAACTTTCAATGTTATTATGCAAAACGTCCCTACCTTTCATTTTTATCATTTTCACCCCACCTTTTACCTTTTATTGCGCAAAAGGTCCTTTTTATCCATTTTTTTCAATAAAATGACGATTTTACCCTCCTATTCAAATAAAACAAAAATAAAATAAAAGAAAAATAATTAATTAATTGCAATCATAATCTTAAATCTTTCAAAACATCATAGATAAGTCCTAAATTCTCTACTAACGCCACTTTCACAACCCCATCAAGCCACCACCTATAGATCCATATAGCACCACCTTTCGACCACAACACCTATCGGACTCCACCACTATTAGTCTCGCCTCACTCTACCCAATATCCTCCTCCATAGTATTAGTCACCAATCTGTCCGAAACAACCACATTTACGGTGTGGAGTCCGGTGGGCATGATGGCCGAAACGTGGTGTTATGTGGATTTATAGTTGGCAGCTTGATAAGTTGTGAAAGTGGTGGTAGTTGAGAATTTATAATTTCTTTGTAATTTTTTAAAAATTTAAGGACTATTAATGCTGTTGGTTATTCATCTTTTCTCCTTTTTTTTTATTTGAATAGGAGGGTAAAATCGTCATTTTATTGAAAAAATGGATGAAAATAACCTTTTGCTCAATGAAAGGTGAAAGATAGGGGTGGAAGTGCTAAAAAATGAAAGGTAATGATGTTTTGCACAATAACATTGAAAGGTAGAGACCTTTTGTGCTAATTATGCCAAAAAAATGAATGGTATGGACGTTTTATACAATAATATTGAAAGGTATGAACTTTTTGTGCTAATTACCCTTTGATTTAACTGATCATTTTAACGGGGAGTTGACAGAAGAACGTTTTGCTCAAAAAAATGTAAAGGTGATGGTGTAATTCGTCAAAAAACGAAAGATAGGGATATTTTTCACAAAAATATCGAAAGGTGGGGACGTTTAGTGCTAGTTACCCATTATTTTATTATAAGAAAATATGATTGAAAATGATATAAAATAATTTTATTAGAATAATATGTAATTGAAAATGAAAAATAATTTTTTAAAGAATGGAGCTCAAACATGGGCTGCCTTGTTTTTTAGTTCCATATTATAGTATATATTTTAGATCAATACTAATTTTCTGCGTTTTTAATGAGAAATCAAAATTGATGAAAATGATTAAAATGACGCCACTCTTTACAGAGAGGTTAAAAATTATTTTTTTTAATAAAATTTAAACAGTTTATTTTTTTTCAAAAAGAAAATTAGGAAAAAAATAAATTATAAATAGTAATTATAAACTTAAGATTTGTTTGATACCCATTTTTTTCAAAATACATTTTTTCTCTCTCTTCTTTTCAATCATACATTTTTCATTAAAATAATATTACAAGTATATAAATTTTTTTTCTTATTTTTCAATAATACATTTCTCATCATTCTGCTATTTTAAAATAAATAAATAAATATATATATATATATTTTTTTTTTTTTTATTTTTTTTTTTGTAAAAATGGGATTCAAACACAAGAAGACAAATGAAAAATAATTTTTTATTTAAAAGAAAAATCAGTAGTACATTATTGGAATATAAAAAGACTATTTTATCACTGTTATCACGTTAAGAGGTACCCCACGCCACCCCATCTCATCTTTCTTTTGCACATCAAAGAGTTAATTGTTCCAATGATGATTGGATTTAGGTTCATGTCTTTAATTAATCATTGAGTTTCAAATGTCGAGTTTTGGTAACTGAACTTAAATTCATGTCTTCGATTGCTCATTAAAATTTAAAATGTCGAATTTTGATCACTGAAATTTGAAAAACGTTATACATTACTCATTGAACTTTGAAAAACGTCATATATTACTCACTGTAAATTCGATATTTTCAAAGTTCAACAATTGTGCTAGTGAGTAACGTACGACATATTTCAAAGTTCAGTAGGTAATGTACAATATTTTTCAAAATTCAGTGGTCAAAACTCGACATTTTAAATTTCAGTGAGAAATCGAAAATATGGACTTAAGTTCAATAAACAATCAAAGATATTAACCTTAGTTCAATTATCAAAACTCGATATTTTATACTTCAATGACCAATAAAATATATGAACCTAAGTTCAATGACCATTGTAACAATTAACTCCACGTCCAAAGATGGACAAGTAACAGTAGGCCTTTCAAAAAGAAAAGAGTCCCAAGCACTACTACAAGAACAAATCCCAGCCTCCTTTTTTCCATTTGAGTGAAAAAGATACAGAAAACAAGAAATCTGAGCCAACTTTTTAATCTCTACTCATTCTTAATTAAAACCCATCTCCTAGAGCAACCAAAAATCTTATCTTTGGTCTTCTGTCAGAAGAAATTGGAGAAGGAAAAAAAATGATTTGATTTATCAAGAATCCACCAATCCAATGGGTTTCCCCAGAAATACTTTGTATTTTGTTCCTGTTTTGCTACTCGTTTTAACCATTCTTGAGCTCACTCCAGTATCCCAATCTGCACCTGACTTCACCAGCTTAGTGTACAAGGGTTGCGCCAAGCAGGATTTAGCAGATCCAACAGGGGTTTACTCACAAGCACTCTCTGCCCTTTTTGGCACCCTCATTGCACAATCCTCCAAGGCCAAGTTCTTCAAAACCACCACTGGCAGTGGCCAAACCACCATTAATGGCCTTTTTCAATGCAGAGGGGACCTGTCAAATGTTGACTGCTATAATTGTGTAAGCAGGTTGCCTATACTCATAGATAAACTCTGTGGCAAGCCTATTGCAGCGAGACTTCAGCTTTCTGGGTGCTACATGCTCTATGAGGTTGCAGGGTTTTCTCAAATTTCCGGGATGGAAATGCTGTACAAGACTTGCAGTGGAAAAAATGTTGGAGGGGCCGGATATGAGGAAAAAAGGGACAGTGCATTTTCTTCACTGGCAAATGGAATTGGAAATGCTAATGGATTTTACACCACAAGTTATGAGTCAGTTTATGTGTTGGGTCAATGTGAAGGTGATGTTGGCTCTTCTGACTGTGTGGAGTGTGTGAAAAATGCTCTTCAGAGAGCTCAGGTTGAATGTGGGAGTTCCATTTCTGGCCAAATCTATCTTCACAAGTGCTTTATCAGTTATAACTATTATCGAAATGGGGTTCCCGAAAGATCATCTTCTTCTTCTTCATATACCTCTCCTTCTCCATCAGGTATAATTTTGCCTTTCTTTCTTTAAGTTCTTAATTTATCTACATACCAATTACATTATGGTCTAGCTGGATCAGCATAATTCTTGGGCTCTTAATTCTACCACAAAAATGTGGATTTTGAATAACTTTGATTTCTTAGCTGTATCCTTTATATTATATGTGGCAACAATACAAAAATGTATGCTATAAGATGTTTGTCTAGCTTTGGTTTGCGGGCCTTATCTCTAGTGGTCCAAGGTATTCAAAGTAAACTCATTCTCTAAAATTCATTTTTAATCACATATTCTCTCCATTAAATAATTTTACATGTAAATTTTAAAAATTTTCCATACTTTTTAATCATACATTCTTTTGGAAAAACTGCATTTTGCAAAATCTATTCTCAAACAGGGGGCTATATTAAGAGGAAATTTGGCTATGCTCTGTTCTAGAGATTAGAAGTTTGAAAATCTGATTTTTTTAATTTTTTTTTTAACATTTCATTGGAAAATATGCGCAGTTGTAACTTTTCATTTTCGAAGAGTTATTGCAACTCTTTGAGTTTGTTTTAAATACCTGAAAATTATAGGGATTGTTATTTTCTGAGAGTATTTTTCCAGAAATGTTAAGAAACTGGAGTTTTCAATTTTGACACCTAATTTTTGTGTATATTTTAATTTCCCCTTATGTTAATATAAATTTTTTTGATTTAATTTATTATAGGATCAGGGCAGAATATAGGGAAGACAGTGGCTATAATATTAGGAGGGGCAGCAGGAGTGGGGTTTTTAGTTATTTTCTTGCTGTTTGCAAGAAATTTAATCAAGAAACATGATGGTAAGAAAATATTGCAAAAGTATTTCACAAGTGTTTTTTTTCCTCCTGAACTATATTTTGTTATTCTCATGTTTTTATATTATAATCTGTCATTTTTGCAGATTATTGAGGTGGAACATGTGAATTTGCGAGTCGAATGTAGTTCTTAAACTTGAGGATTTCCTTATTGAAATTCAACAGAAACTGGGAAAACATTGTAAGCTTTAATTCCAAGTAATGTGAAAAGAAAAAGGAGAAACCAGTACTTTTTCTTAGCCTGTGTAGCATTTTTGTTTTAAAAACGTCATATTTTGTATTCAAAGACCAGAAAATTTTGTGGCATTAGAAAGAGTTTTTGGCAAGAAATGTTGTTCAAGAAAATTTTGGTGCCTAATACAAGAATGTATGATTTTCAATTGCCAAAAAATAAAAGAAAAAAAAATGAATTCGGAAATTGTGCTTATGACTTTGGCATTTTTCCCAATTGCCATGTGCATGTCTGTACCTTTACTTCATTGTATAGAATAATTGACCTAGATTTCTTCAAGGCTTTTATGCTTTTTAGAGAAAAGTTTCTCTCTCTGTCTATCGATGAATGCAGTTTATGTTTTTTTGTGTTTAGTTTTTAGTTGGTCAAACGTTGGGAGATCTAAATAATAGGAGGATTAAGCTGTGCTGGCCTGTATGGCTAGTTTTGCTTCTTTTTTCTTTTTTTTTTTTTGCCCAATAACCAATGAGAAATTGCCAGGGATCCCTGTTATAATGTAATCTCTACGAATCCTCTGTACACATAGCACTTTTCATAAAAGGGTCAAACAGTGTCAATCATGCTGTTTCCTGGTTGTAAAACTTCATTTGTCTGGTGCAAGATTGCGATTTCTTTCGTCATCGATTCTTTTATTGAAAACTCCGCCTACCCTTTTCTTATATGATCCCAAGTCTAGGTAAAATCATCGTTCACATTGTGTTAGGGTGTCCTGAATTGAACGAAGTGGAAAGAACTGATTCATGTAAACAAGGCTAAGTTCGTCATTGGCTTTATTGTTGTTGTGTACCTATCTCCGTTCTTTTGTGCGAAGTTATAAATATAGATATACACACACACACACACATAATGTCACGCTATTATAGTTTTCTTTTGAGTGTTTTTATTGAAATTGAGAAAAATAAAAGGCATGCTATATTAGTTTGGAGTCAAATAGAAACCTGATTATTCGCAGCTGGTTGAGAATTTTCCCTGTTGAGAATATTTACGACTCACAAACAAATAAAGAAAATTGAAAAAAAATAATAAATATAGGAAAAAAAAGGGAAGTCACTGTGTTTGTTTGCATATTTGGTTTGGAATAGATGTGCTTTAGCTATTGTTGACTTTGCTTCTTGGAAATTCCAACTCTATGCCGGAATTAACTGCGTGAAGTGTAAACTTAATTAAAAATTATGGAAGCCTTCTTTTTGTGGAAAATCTTGAAAAAGTTTGGTATTGAAAGAGTAGATTGCTATTGTTATCTTTGCTTAATGAACTTGATTATCTGCCAAATTATTGCCGAACCCCATCTTTTGCAGTATCATTGGTTTGAAATTTGGCTATTACTGATATTATAAATCGGTTTCAGCTGCATCAAACTGATATTCCTGTGATCTTTCAGTTTTAACTAAGTTTGTCTAAAATATTGATGGATTGCTAGATTATACAGAATAAAGGAGAAACATTTCGCGCATCTCTTTTCTTTAGTCCTGACTAGTTTAGTGTACAAAACGTGCACAAAGTGAGTAAATATGCTCGACAACATAATTCGATGTATCTTCTCAGGCTCTAGGCCCCTTGCTTTGGGTCGTCTGGGGTTCGGGGCTGAAGCTGTTTTACGTTTTGACAAGAAGTCATTTTTACACTTCATGACACATTTCTTGTTATGTTCTTCGTTTGTTCATCCGGATTACATCTTCCTATCCAATGCATGTTTATATTCACCTTTCCCTAGTGTTGAGAGTATGAATTTCTTACATTCCATGAAGGTTTTTATTTTATTTTATTTTAAGGGGGAACCTACAGTCGTTACCCTACGGGTGCGCACTGGGTAAACTCTTGAGCTGACGCAATAGTCTACAAACTACATCAGTCAGGTAAATCGCACTAGATAAACCCTGTACGACAAACTTGACAGAGAAAGTGTTGGTAGGGGGTCGAACTCGTGATCAAAGCCTTTCGCGTTCACCTATTTCACCAACTCGACCATCCATGAAGTATCTGTTATTTTAATCCTATTTGCTGTTGTTTAAAGATGATAAATATTTTATGCCTCAAACACATGGCCTTGGGGTTAAAAAATAAAATAAAAACTGGAGAAAAGCCCCTTTCCTCTGCAACTAGATCTTGTTATGAGAATCCTTGATTTGGTAGGTTTTGCCAACCATATGCATTGCATTTACTTTCTTGATCGGGAGCAAACTATTTTATATTGGTGTTTATTTTTTTTAAAATTATTTTCTCATGATGTCAGAAGATTTGAACGAATGAAAATAAATGATGAGGCCACCGACCACAGTCCCGGTGGCTGTAACTACAACGGTACTAATTGAGCATAATTAATTATTGCTATCTCGTTGTAAATAACAACTAAACTTGGCACTATCTACGATACAATTTTTGTTATAATTTGGCATTCAATTTATAATGATTGGTATGTTGAAATGATAATACAACCATATCGGTATGTAGAGTAAATACGAAAATATCAAAAACAAAATGAGAAGAAAAAAATGGAAGAGCTGGCATTTTGGCCGGGTGAATACGTAACGTTGCTTTCAATAACTATAGGTCAAAACATTGTTCTAGGGGATTGCCCAATTTTGTACTGGACAATTGTGCAGACCAATTTTTTAACAGTTGGGTTTGAAATTTCTGGTTTGTTACCTGACACACTTTCATGAAAAATGCATCTTTTCATGAACCTAAGATGCCTTTTTGTATTGTATGATCGAGAATCTATATATACGAGATAGATTTCATTCCTCTACACAATTATTACACCGCCACCAATTGAAATCATTGCATTCATAGAGAGTTTTACGAAAGTCTTTTAACATATTCATCTTTTCAAACTATTCTTCAAGTTTTAAATAGAAAACACAAGTACCTGGTGTTATTCTTCTTCTAAGACTTGTTAAATCTTACAAATTATTTGTCATGAATCCTTTTAAATATCAAAAACAATCCTAGTGGAGGTAAATTTAGTTTGGGAATAGCGATTATGCATTCAAGTCAATTTTCAATGTTTCTCTTTTCTTTTGTTTCTTTTCTTCATTTCCTAGTTAGGATCAAGTCTTCCAAACAATCTCAAAACTGAAGTTTTCTTTGGAGAACGAAACTATCATGGCTACCATCAAACTTATGAATCAAGGTCTTGTTCACTTGGATCGATTCGACGGAACAAATTTTATTAGATGGCAAGACAAATTGAAGTTCCTTCTTATGGCATTGAAGATTTTCTACATCCTTGATTCGGAGTTGGCACCATTGCCAAAACCAACAAATAGAGATATAGATGTCATAAGAGCCGAGAGGCAAAAGCATTAAAAAGATGAAATAATTTGTCGCAATCACATACTCAATGCACTATCCGATTGGTTGTATGATATGTACATCAACGCATCATGGGCAAAAGATATTGGAAATTCTTTCTCAAGTGCATGAATTACAAGTACTCGTCAACAAACTGAAGGTGATCAAGATTGAACTTCCAAAATCTTTCCAAGTATGAGAAATTATTGCTAAACTTTCGGGACTTGAAAATGATATCGAAAGAAAATTCTTCATAATTTCGATGATTACTCTTTTGAATAAGTTTAGAAACATCTCCGAATTGAGCAAGAATTGATGACGAGATAAAAGTGAAAACTTTTATGAATACACTTCAAAGGCTAGTACCGTGAAAAAGACTAAACCTTTCAACAAATTCAACAAGAGGAAATCTTTTAACAAAGGCTACAAAAAGTCTCAAAAGAAGCTCGAGGGAGATTGTTTTGTGTATGGAAAACTCAAACATTTTGCGAAAGATTGTCAACACCAAAAACAAAACAAGAAAGAGGGCAAGGTGAACTTCATTGATGAAGATAGTATTATGGCTACCGTGAAACTCAAATAAAAAAGACTTTAGGACTGGAAAAAATTGATTCTCAACTTATTTTAATTTACTTAGCCCATGTTTGGTTTTGATTAAATTTGATTTTAATTTAAGTTAAAATCAAACAATCAATATTAACAATATCTTTTATAGATCCCACAACTTTTCAATCACACATTTCAAAAATTTACATCACAAGCTACTAAAAAATCTAATTTTAATCCCTACAAAACATCTTCTTAGTAGAGGGAAATAAGAAGAATGTTGTAAAAACAATTTTTTTTTTTTTTTTACAAATGAAAACTGATCCTAAAACCTATAAAGAAGCTATCGCTTCTCATGATCGTATCTTTTGAAAGTATGCAATTAAAGATAGAATGTATTCAATTATGCCAAACAACATGTGAAAACTTGTAAATTTAACACCCGGGTATAAACCTATTTGTTGTAAATGAATGTTTAGGAGAAAATATAACGTAGATAACTTAATACTTTTAGAACTAGATTAGTAGCTAAAGGTTATAGACAAAGGGAAAGAATAGATTATTTTGATATATGCATTGGTAGCTTGAATAACATCAATTAGGATATTTTTCACATTAGCTTCCATATATGACTTGCATATTAATCAAATGGATATCAAGATGACATTTTTAAATGGGGATCTCGATGAGGAAGTTTATATGGAACAACCTGAAAGGTTTCTTCACTTGAAACTGAACGCAAGGTGTGGAAGCTAGTAAAATTATTATATAATTTAAAACAAGTATATATTATATAATGAATGACATGAAAAATTAGACTTATCAATTATTTCATTTAGGTTTTATACATAATAATGTAGATAAGTGTTTATAATCAAAAGTATGTGATAAATATGTTATATTTATGTGCTTGTATGTTGATGATATATTGATTTTGAGCAATAACATGGATGGAACAATAGAAATAAAAATATTTTTATCTTCTACGTTCAATATAAAGGATCCTGGACAAATGAATATCATATTAGGTATCGAAGTTATTAAGAATACTGGGGTTATTATTTGAGTCAATCACATGATATCGAGAATATGACAAATAAATTCAAATATTTGAATATAAAAGAGTATAGTACCCCTCTTGATCCAAATTCTAAGTTTATAAAGAATGATGAAATAGTTATTGCTTAATTGGAATGTACAAGTGTTATAGGGAGTCTTATGTTCAATGCACGAGATTGGATATAGCATTTGCAATTAGTAAACTTAATAAGTTTACTAGTAATCCAAGCAAAGAATATTGGAAGGTTATTAGGAGAGTTCTTGGTTACTTAAAAAAAAAAAAACCAAAAATTTAAGTCTTCAATATTCTAAGTTCCGAGCTATATTAGGATTTACTAATGCTAGTTGGATATCTAGCACTAGCGAGAGTAAATCAACTT